GCTTGGGGACGCAAGCAGCTTCAGCAGGGTATAATGCCATAGACTCAACCCTCCAAAGCAGCCATTTTATCCAGGGTAACTGATCTCTGTCACCTTGACAACAGTTGTAATACTGGGTGATCTCCAGCCCTCACCTTGAGGCTGGCAATGGTAATTCTTGTGGAGGAAATGATTGGTTTGTAGAAAAAGCTGTTGGGGGAGAGTGATCCCTCTGTTGGTGGAAATAAGTATCTGCACGGAAAACAGACCTTGGCTATTAGACAGAGACAAGAAAGAGGACCTGCGAAACTCGTGGGGGGGAGCTCCAAACTGAGCAGGCGGAGGAGGAACGAGCAGGAGCAGGTAAGCTTCCCCCCCCTCCCCCCCGGTCCCCCCCCTCCCCCCCCCCCCCCCCCCCCCCCCCCCTTCGACCTTCCCCTTTCAAGTGGCAGCGGCGAGGCCTTGTCGTCCCGCCGAACTTTCTCCCTCCCTCTTCCCCTGGCAGCAGCAGCGAGGCTTCGTCGGCCGCCAAGCTTTCTCCCCCCTCAGCCCCCCCAGCAGTGGCAGCGAGGCCGGAGCTCCACTCGCCAAACTTTCTCCTTCCCCCCAGGTGGCGGCGAGGGATTTGCGGCTTACAGCCACCAGCCGGCCAAGCCTTCCCCCACCCCCTCCCCTCCTGTTGCCGCTGCCGAAGCCGTTCCAAGAGTGTTCCCTGCGCATGCACAGTGGACGCTCTGTCACTTTTGGGGGGATTTAAGTATTCCCTGATATTTTTTTCAGATTTTCAGATTTTTGTGCACACCTGGGGACTGCCCCAAGTGTGCACGAAAATCTCCCTCCCCCCAGGTGCCCCCGATGCACGGATTTAGGTATCCGCACGCAAGGGGGCGACTTCACTATTAGTATATAGATGGAGCTGCCTTCTGCACATACAGTTGACATTCATCTGGTCCTCACTGCTCAGGCTGCATGAGTCTTTCAATGTGGATCTGCAACCTCATTCAGAACCCCTAGGTGTTGCACATAAATAAAGATGGATCATGTATGGACTGTTTTTGTAAACTGTAGTATTGTACACTTTAAAAAACTGTTCACTCCCCAGGGCATACCTTTATTCAGTACTTATCAAATCCTCAGTAATCCCAGTGACCTCCTAGAGAGGTCACCATGGGATACTTGATTCTTTCCCCCTATTTTATTCTCACAACAGCTCTGTTAGGTAGGACAGGATGAGAAAGATTGATCCAAAGTCACACAGTAAGGTTCATGGCTAAGTGAGGAATTGAACTCAGGTTTCCCTAGTTTGATTATCTGTTTACTACACCACACTGTCTCTTGCTTTGTCACAATAAATATTATTGCTATTGGTCTTTTTGAGACTACAGGCTGATCAGAATACTTTTGGTCACCAGAAGGTAGAACAAATTCATTCAGGGTAACTCTAGCCCCTACTTTGTTTCTAGTAATGGGATTGCTAAAAGTCACTGTGGTTTGATTATGGTGAGGCTACTGGACTGGGTTCAGGCAGAGCCAGGTTCAAGTCCCCACTCGGACATGAAGTTCACTGGGTGATCTTGGGCCAATTATTAGCGCTAAGCCTAACCTACATCACAGAGTTGTTGCGTGGATAAAATGGAGATGGGGAGAACAATATACACTGGCCTGAGCTGTTGCTCAGATTTATTTTTGGCTCACACAGAAAGCAGTACAGATCTTGTTTGTACAGAGCCAGTTTGGTGTACAGTTTGTACAGTTTGTACAGAGCCAGTTTGGTGTAGTGTTTAATCTGGGAGAACTGGGTTTGATTCCCCACTCCTCCACTTGCACCTGGCTGGATGGCCTTGGGCAAGCCGTAGCTCTGATAACAGCTGTTCTTGAAAAAGAGCAGTTTCTGTCAGAGCTCTCTCAGCCCCACCTACCTCACAGGGTGTCTGTTGCGGGGAGGGGAAGGGAAAGGAGTTTGTAAGCTGCTCTGAGACACCTTTGGGTAGTGAAGGGCGGGATATAAATCCAATCTCTTCTTCTCTTCTTCTTCTTCTTGTGGGAGCTCAATCCAGGCTGAATCAGGACTAAACAAAAATATGACATCTAAAGTATATTGTGGTCTGTAGCTTTGCATATTAACTTCTAACCGTAAAAGTATTGTCCAGCTTAAGTTGAAGGAAGGCTCCTTAGTAGAGATGGGCATGAACCAAACCATGAAGCAAAATTCATCATGAGTTTTGCCTTGTTCGTGGTTCACAAACCAAAGTTTGTGATGGTAGATCCCTCACAAACTTCGGTTTGCGAACCATGAATAGGGAAAAATTAAAATTTAAAGCAGTTCATGGGGGTTTGTGGGTAGAGCAGAAATTAGTGGTTTAAAGGGACTCAGAGATACATTATTGCCCCTCCTGGTTTGGTTCGTGGTTCGGCTACAAACCACGAACCGACACAAGCCCCATTTTTCCAGTTCCTGCTCATCCCTACTCCTTACCCTGGCTGAAGGCCTCAGATTTTGCTCAGTGGAATGGTAGGATAGGGGAAGGATCCACTCCAGTATGAGCCAATTCAGACTTCCACTGTGGTGCTGCCAAAGGGGATCATGTTCTAGTGTCATCAGCTACCATAGCCAGGCATGATGTAGTCGTGCCATGCATTTATTTAAGATACCATGACCACAACTTTCCATATAAATGTCTGTGAGTTGACTTTCAGCAACAAATTGACAAGCAGTAATACAATAAAAACGCAATAAAACTAGCAGCAAAATGTCTTGATTCATGTGCATTGCTAAAACAGGATTTAAGGATAACTCATGTAACAAGCCAAGAAGCATTTTGGCCACCCTAGAAAAATCTTGTTTGGCACAACTTTACATGCCTTACATTTTGTAGCAAGTACTAACCTGTTTTTCCCACTCAAACTGCTACTGGCTAGCAATACAGTAATATGAATGCTCCCCATTTGAAATTTAGGATTCTGTGACAGGGAGATCGGCACTTATCACATTATGTGCCTTCAAAACTATGCTTTGATACATTTCTGAATTTATACCAAGAAGAACCACAACATCATCTTCTCTTAAGTTAGAAATACTTAGTCCCTATAGTGTTCATAACCACACACAGAAAATCACTACGATGAATGCAACTCCAAAGGCACTAATCTTAGACTGCAAGGCAGGACTAGCTGTTATATATTTGTTAACTCCTATTTATTTAGCCTGCATTGCTCAGGCTAGCCCAATCTTGTCAGATCTCAGAAGCTAAGCAGGGGCAGCCCTGGTTAGTATCTGGATGGGAGACAGACCACCAAGGAAGTCCAGGCTCCAGGGTCGTGATGTGGAGGCAGGCAGTGGCAAACTATCTCTGAACATCTCTTGCCTTGAAAAACCTACAGGGCTGCCATAAGTTGACAGCAACTTGACAGCACTTTCCATCACCATTTAAAGATTTACAGTGGCCCTTTTAACATTACCATTCTAAACCAGATGTTGTTCATTGCTGCTCCAATTCTGAGTAAAGCGATACAAGGACGGGAATTTCATACAGCAAATTTCTTTCTGTTAATGAGCCGTCTCTGAAGCACTATGGTCATTTCAAAAAGTGCCGCTTTCCCATCACTCTTTTTCACCATGTGATCTTCCTCGGACTTTTTTTTTTTTTTTGGAATATTCTAAGATGAGTGCTGTAGCACTTCAATGGAGTAGATGCATTCAATGCATCTCAATGGTGCTGCTATAGCACTGAAGTGCTATAGTGGTTTAACACTATAGCACTCAACTTAGAATGTTGAAAAAAGGTCTGAGGAATATTGCACGGTGAAAAGGCGTGGGGAAAAAGCAGCACTGTACGAAGTGCTATGGACATTTTAAACAGCACACCACAGGAATTTAAAAGCACAACGAAGGGGATGGAAATGGGAAAAAAGCAGTTTTCCTCAAAAGCGGCCCAACCACACTTTGTTAACCTGACGCAAGTGGGTTTGTCTGAACAGGTAAATAAATCCTGCCAGCAGCTGGTTACTAAAACAGGTCTGTCTGAAATGACAGGAAAACCCCCAATAATCATTTGAAAAAAGACTATGCATTTGCATTAAAAATATATTCATGGCTTGGTACAGTACAAGCCCTGCCACATCATCCTAACAACGTCAACAGGTGAACACAACCTTGTTGCAAACATATAAACCCTTTCCCCTCCCATCCATCCTGCATTAGGTTATCCTAGCCATGTGGGAACTGTCTGTGAGTAGCACAGCTGGGATAATATTAAAATAACTCAGCCACGTAGGCAAAAGCTAACAGCATGGGTCTTTCCTGAGGAACCTGCACCCTGCTGTACATGGCTGGTTTATTTTTGTTACCCCAGAGGCAGCCAAATATGGCTCCTGTGTGACTAGGTTAATTTTTAAAGGGACTCATAGATGATTGTTAAGTAGGTGTTTACCTGTCACAGTGTGCAGCTGTTAAGATGTGTCAGACCTGCAAGGAAAAATCATTATCCAGGAAAGCAGGGGAATGGTACAGCTGTCTTTAACACTTGGCAGAATGCGAAGTGACAATATGCACGTTTGGAAGATGGCCCATTGCCTATATCCCCAGTCTCACTGCCTTCTAAGCAAACCATGGACCCTTACATTACGCAATGTGTTTATGTCCTTTCCATATCAGTCCGCTCCAAAGCACATAACTGTATGTGAATTAAGATCTTCAGCCTGCAGTGTTTCTGTTTGTGTGAACATGGCCTGAGTGTCCATGTGAAACATTCAAGGTAAATTAGCAACCCTCGTTTATGGGACTTCATTCCTAAGACCTCAACAGTTTGAATTTCCAGATGGAAAAGAATCAGTTTTAATTTTCCTTTGCCCACAGTAAATGGATGAGAAAGGATTAAAAACACACACACACACACACATATACCCCCAAGGTCTTTTAGAAGTGAATGGAAATACTCATTTGATAAAATCTCTCTTCTGCAAATCTCTCTTCTGTACTTCTGTTTTCTCTGCCATAAACAATTCAGATTTGTAACTCTTACCTCGGTTCCACCTGGGAGGTACAGCGGCATGAGCATTGTAATATAACAAGAGCACCAACACAGTCTTCCAGTGCATCCTTGATTTTCCAAGAGAGATACAGATCTTTCCTATTGGATAAATCTTTTCTTTCCAACCGCCTTGTATTGCCTGGGACAGGTGTCTAATTTTTATCCTCTTCCCCCCCACACACACTGGTATAGGAGATCTTGCTGGCTTTCCTGGGGGCAATTTTTTTATCAAAGCAGCGGCACCTCACTCGAAACCAATTCTCTTTTGGGATCAGGAATTCATTTGCACAGACGAGCGCGGCTTTATATCCCACATCTGGAATGACTCATGACGCATGTGAGTTTGCTGGCAGCTGTGGAAATAAATATCATTACATTTTTGCAGCTCCGTTCCATTCAGCGTTTGGGCCAGTTGGAATTTCCCTGTGTCAACAGACACAAGTAGCTATAGTTAAAGAACACTATTAAACCCTTGATCTTTTGGGCTGTGCTCTATTATGCATGCATTTGAGCATGTCTTCACGGTAAAGGCTACGCTTTGAAATGACATATTAACATTTCTTGGATGTGTACATGAGGGAGCGGGGCACACTTGTTGAGAGAGTGTTCCGTGCTTTAAGGTAGCCATTTGTTTTACAGAGAACACTGAATGAGGCATTTGCCAATCAGGTCACAACTGGGTGGAAGGTGTACCAATGGAAATCCTTCGCTGGGACGTACATTCTTGTAAAACAAAGATTTAATAACAAAGCAGGCACACTGGAAAAGACTGTCAGCCAAGATCACTTGGAAATTCATCTACATTCACAGAGCAGGCAGTCCAAAAAAATCAGTGTGACCCAGCCAAAGTTAAACATATCTTAATTTCAATTATTTCAATGGGACAGAAATAGTTTGAGGCTCAATTCTTTCCTGTTAAATTCAATAAGACTGAAATTATTTGCTTCCTTTTGCCCCAGCTTTCTTGCCGATGGGGACCCAGAGTGGCTTATGTCATTCTCACCTCCATTTTACCCTCACAACAGCCCTAGGAGGTAGGTTAGGCTGAGAGTGTGTGACGGGTCACCCAGCAAGCTCCTATGGCTGAGTGATTCAACTATCTAACCACTACACCACACAGGTGATGCATAACTTTGGCTGGATTGTGTCTATTTTGGGGGCAGATGCTCTGAGAATGTTTCTCACATTTTATACCCCATTGGAAGGTATGCTCTTAAATCCTGATGTTTATGGTGAATTCCACTGAAAATAATTTGCAGGTGTATCTGACTCCAATGATTTTTGATCATATCTGTGCCATCCTCACTACTGCTGAAGCACGCAATAATTTTTCAGCATTGTGGCATATTAATTCTCACAAACTGCTCCCTGGAAGGCCAGATACTGAAGCTGAAGCTCAAATACTTTGGCCACCAAATGAGAAGGGAGCACTCACTGGAGAAGACCCTGGTTGCTGGGAAAGATTGAAGGTCAAAGAAGAAAGGGACGGCAAAGGATGAGATTGTTAGACAGTGTTATTGAGGCAACAAACATGAAATTAAGCAAACTCCGGAGCACGACAGAAGACAGGAGGGCCTGGCGTGATGTGGTCCCCGGGGTCGCGAAGAGTCGGACTCGACTGTGCGACTGAACAACAACAACAACAATTCTCACAACACTTAACCCCTTAGTATTAATCTTTCTCCTGCAGTTTCTTTCAAACCTGCAAGATTTCTACCAGTTTATACTGCTTTGTCCTAAAAACCGTGGTTTTGTGTAATTGCCAATATATACATTTCATTTACTAGAAGGAATGCAACTGGACAGGTGAATTTTTAACAGAAATATGTTGCATGGAGTCACTTTTGCATGGATACCGGCTCTAATTTGTTTTTTTTAAATCTAGATTGCTCCTTTATGCTTTGCATGCCCTTGAAGTAAAGCTCACATAACTTCATCTATTCTTTCTAAAATAGGATTTATTCAGAGAGGCTGTGAGATGGACTGTTCATAGAGGCAGTCGGAATTGATGGAAGCAGAATTGACGCCGGAACCAAAGATGGAATTGGAACTGGGGCAGATCTGGTCTGTCAGTCTGGTTCTTTCTCAGATGGTGGGATAGCCCATCTTTCAAAGAGGGCCTTTCTCCAAAGACCTGACCTGAAATGAGAAGCCCTGTTTTGACTGGCTTTGGATGTAGGGTTCCCAAGTCCAAAATACTCACCGGCGGGGGAGCCTTGGCTGGCTCTGGGAGCTGTCCCCAGATGTGCATGCACGCGTCGCCAGCACATCACAGGAAGTGACGTGCAACATCGACCACGTTGAGGGCGTGGCCACTATCATCGGAGGGAAAACCATAGAGTTTTCCCTCTGACGATCCAGGCCATGTCCCCAACGTGGTCGATGTGCACGTCACTTCCTGTGATGCTGCGCTTTGGGGGGCAGAGTTCCCCCTGGGGCCCGATTCCGCGGCGGCAGAAATCGGGCCTCCAAAGCGGGGGTTTACTTGCCCCCCACCCCCACTTGGCAGCCCTATTTGGATGTGAAGTGCTGACAAACAGGGTATCTGGAGACATCACGTTCCTCCACACTTTTAAAAGATACACTTTTGGGCTATAGCCCCCCCCCCCCAAACCAAAGAACAACAAAAAAGATCTAAAGACTAAAAATTTTCAGATTTCTCGCTGGGGGGGGGGGATGAAGATATGTCAAGACTAGAGCCAGAGTTATAAAAACAGGCAACCTCTCTGCATGGTGACAGAGAAAGAACCAAGGGAGAATTCCCACTCTTTTCAGAAAAGGGCAGGAAAAGACTGGTGTGAGGGAGAGGGGGGGAATGTTCCTCCACATGCTTTTAGAATTCCTCATGGCAGGTCTGCCCATGCATGGTTGACTTCCCAGTGGCCAGGATGATGAATGTATACTACCACAGCAGAGACAGGACCAAAGCTAGCTCTCCTATATTTGCCAGAAAGGGGAGGTCTTAGTAATTCTGGGGATCAGGGCAAAAATCCAGGATGGGCCTCTCAAACCACTGCTAGCCCCATGGGGTCCCTTCCATGCCACCCCAGAGTCACACAAGAGTAAGAATGGGTCAGCTTCGAGCCAGCTTCCTGAGCCCCAGACAGGGCCCTGGTGTCCTTTTGCCCTGGTCTCCATTTGGGGTGTATTCAACCCCTCCCCAGCATGAAGACCAGGCCAGCTGCCCTGGTTGCCCATTGGCTAAGACTGCCTGTTAAGTATGAGACTTAACTCAGAGGAGCAGTTCAACAAGTGATTTCAGCTTTATTTCAGTGAGAACAGCATAAAGGCTCAGCCTGGTAAGGACTAGACCAGCTAGACAAATTCCATAGGCAAAAACGGCAACTTATATACAATTCTGGCTGGGATAGCCACACCTACAATGTTTACAGCATCCAATCACATTAGCTACATTACATCCAATCACAATCAAGAGTTAACGTCCAATCCAAACCATTCCCTCCAGAATGCACACCATTGGTCAGTATTTACAATCCGCATAATGAGTGAAGCTAGATTATGCTTTACCATTATGTCTCTCAAGACATAACACTGCCCATGCAGAGGAAGATGCAAGCCCTCACTTTTCTATTTTGTGTCTTTTGTGATTCTGTCATTCCTTTGTGTGACTTTGACTTTTTTTATAGCCACATTGATCATGCCAATGGAAAAGCAGGATGAAAAACTCATTAACAAGTTAGTACTTAGATGGGTTCAGATGGGAGATCCAAGATCAGGATGCCCCACTGATTTCATAAATGCAAATAATTAAGGCACGGCTAGATATGGTGTGGTTGGATCCCGTCTCACATTTCTGCTGATGGATGTGGGGATATTCCCCCCCCCCTAATTTCCTCCTCCTGCTACAGACCCCTGCTTTAGAATCATAGAATAAAATCATAAAGTTGGAAGGGATCTCCAGGGTCATCTAGTCCAACCCCTTGCACAATGCAGGAAATTCCCAAACCCCTCCCCCCAGTGACCCCTGCTCTATGTCCAGAAGAGGGCAAAAAAGCCCCAAACTCTCCAGGATCCCTGGCCAAACTGGCCTGGAGAACAATTGCTTCCTGACCCCAAAAATGGCAATCAGCATTTCCCTGGGTGTGTATGAAAGGGCCACAAGAACTAAGCACTGATGCAACCCTCCCTGCCCTCCCTTCTCATGATCTGCCTAAGTCCACAGAATCCACAGGGCTGTCAGATGGCCATCTAGCCTCTGTCTGAAAACCTCCGAAGAAGGAGGTTTTCTTGGGGCTACTTTCCCCCTCTGGAGCACCATTTTAGAGATTTTTTTTAGCTGCGTCAGAAAGGGAGGAGATGAAAAAATCATGCTCAGTTGATAGAAATCCTTCCATCAGAGTTGGGGTGATGGTGGTGGTGGCTAATTATAACAGAATTATAACCATGGGAGGGACTTGGGGAAGGTTTAAAAAACTCCTTCCCTCATAGTATTTTCACAGTTCTCCTGCCCCAAACTTTTCTCCCAGAGAAAATCATACAGATAGTAAACAGCCTTGAACACTGGCCTATCTTGCAGGTCACTATAAGGATTTCTAATGTCATTTACATGAAGCCCAGTGAGGAGGGACTACCAAAATGTGAATTATTATGATCAAGAATGGAGAAATCCCTGCCTACTCGTGTTCAGATCCTTGAACACAACAGTGCAATCCAAAGTAGCATACCTTTCTAAGCCCCATTGAGCAGACTAAATAGCCCTGAACTTGGAGCCTAAACCAAAGTTGGCCATCTCCTGCCTCAGCAGGGATTAAAGGTAAAGGTAAAGGTTCCCTTGCTCAAAAGCCAGTCGAGTCCGACTCTAGGGTTGCGGTGCTCATCTCCGTTTCAAAGCCGAAGAGCCAGCGCTGTCCGGCATGACCAGGGATTTTTTTGTAGAAGAAGCCCAGCCGGAACGCATTAGCATAATAGGCCACACCCAACAGCAGAAACTCATTAGCATATTATGCCACACACCTGACAGTACAGCTCATTAGCATATTAGGCCACACACCCCATGTTACCAGAAGTCTGGTCATCCAACCACACCCACCTTTTGCTTCTTATTCT